TATATATATATATATATATATATATATATATATAGTGTGTATTCAGGAATATATGTTAACATTTTCTCGCGCCTTCACTGCTTGAACACATTAAATACCAACAAATTAACAAAAATCAAATAACTAAATAAACTTGCTGTATTTGCAGCTGGTTCAATTAACTGTCATATTTTAAAAGGGCTATCAATAATATTAATAATAATATAAAATATGGATGTGTACCTAGCATTTCATTTTTTTTAAACCACAGCTAAATTTGGATTGAGGATGTTTTACTATAAAATAATGAACTTAAATTAGCCACAGCTTTAAAGGACTGGGATACGCCTTCATTTGAATATTTGCCAGGGCAATAGCGTACTTTACCATCACTGAGTCTTTAATCATGTGGCCCCACTTTTTCATGAGGGTTGTAAATGTGTTATACTAGCCAGTATTATTGTGATTATGAGGTATAAACAGGGAGTTATAAACCAGCAACTACTATTCCATCTAGATGTAAACATCATTCCTAATAATTCCACACTAGGAAACATTCATTGTGATTTGAAGGTTACCTTCATAATGCCTAATGGGTTCCATACTTAAAAACTACAATAATAACTGCCAGTTGTATTCACATCTGTTCACGGTTCCCCTGCTAATATATCTTTCAACCAATCTCAATTGCAAATGATCATCTATTCTCATAGCAATTCTGCACATGCACTGCACTGAATCTGGCTCTGAGCCAAGCTGTCCACTCAGATCTGGTAGACATTAATATCCTCATATCTTGTTGTGAGATTTATTGCATTTTCTACAAACACTATACCGAGAGATTTGGAGTGCATATTCATAAGCAACCCTGGATTTAGTTGGATCGACTCTTAGAGTCAAGGTTAATCATCACTGGGCTTCTCTGGTGGGACCAAATGTGAAATTCTCTACATCTTAATCACTTCTGCAGCTAATGCAGCTTTGTATAGCCCTCAGCCCAGCTGGCCCTCTTCTGGCTTCATCAGCAGGTTTGTGCAATTTTTTACCAAGTCACAAAGCCGAAGAAGAAAGATGTAAAGCAAAGAGGAAAAGTGATAGGAGAGGGAGGAATGACAGAATGAAATATCTAAATAAGTAAAGAAGGAAGAGCATATGTTAAGAAGCACAGAGTGAAACGAATCTGAAAGTGAAGAAAGAACGATGAGAAAGGTGAAAAAAATGAAGGGCAGAATAAAGTATGAAGTACAACCAGGAAAGAAACAGGTTAATGAGAGGTAAACAGAAAGAGAACCACAACATTTAGAAAATGACAAATGGAATAAAGTCTAGAAATCAAAATTAGCTTCTCATACACTGATTTGCTATTTCCAAACTTCAAGGAAAAACTGAAATAAAACTGTCTAAAAAAAAAAAACCTGAGTTATATATGTATAATTGATTCAATGATTCATTGAAGACAGTTTACAAAAAAAAATCTATACAACTTCACCCTTCAATGTTGAATATAAATTCAAATCTCTTGGTTTTCCTGGCAAACTTCAATCAGTCACCTGTTTTCTTGTGGGATTACATTTTATGTCAAAGAAAAAATCAGTTAGAGATCAAATTCAATGTATGATAAGTTGGAAAATAAGCTTCACAATACATTGGAAGCATCTGAAATATGAAAAGGTCACTCTGCCCTATGATAATGCTCACTGAAGCCTCACAAGAGAACCCCAACCTTTGTGATATCTTTTTGGTTATAATATGCATCTCACTTTTTCTTTTCTCTTTAAAAAAAAGGTTATGAGTTCCTGCGAGTTTGAGCATCACCAAGTGAGTTATTTTACCTGCATTTTTAAGACCGTGAGGGATTGGCTAAAGAAGGTGGTGCAGACTGGACATTTTAAGGTTGCAGCTTTTAAAGGTCATAGCTATAACTTTTTCATCAATATAATACATTTTTTTTGTACAAATAATACATCCACAGGACATCTAGTCCAGGATGAAAGTATTAATTTTACTGAGAAAAATGTTGGACATAAATAGATTACTGCTACTGTGGTCAAGATGCCAGCATCGGCATTAAAGGATCCTGCACCAATAGGAATAGTAGGCTGAAGTCATGTGAGATGGAGCTAAGGCATTGCCAGATACTAGTAACTTGCAAAAGAACTGAGTAATGGTTACTTCCAACCAGAACAGAAGCATTGGTCAAGCTGCAAAGGTTGCTACCTTTCTTCTAAACTGGTTTGTTAAATGTGTGGTTTGGTTAGCACTACCATTAACAATTGCACACCTGGTTAGGTTGTTAAACAGTAAGCAAGGAGTTCTGGTCAGCAAAATTGACCCACTTACTGGAGATAAACTTGCAGGTATAACCTATTAGAACTGCATGTCTGTTCCTTTTTTAAACTGAGCCATGTATCTTAAAAATGAATTCATACATGTTTATAAAAACTGAATAATGATTTGAAAATACCATGGGGATGTCGAACGGTATCTAAACTGGAAAAATATAATTCAGGCTGCAAAATTGTAACAATGACACCTAATGAGATTTTATACTGCAAAAATGTTAATATAAGTAGGTCAATCATTTTTCAAATTAGTGTATTTTCCTTTGATTTTAGTTGTTAAGATAATTTGCAAATGGAAAAAAAAAAAATTAATGTTTAAAGTAAAAAAAACTCTAAAATATTTGAAGTGCATTAAATGTAGTTATCTTATATTAAAAGGAAAACTATCCATAACATAGGCAGAACATCATATTTATCTACTCAAATGATGGTGATCAGGGGGGCTTCTGTCAGTGAGCCCCAGGGAAACTGTGGCTACAATGTAGCTTACCACCAACAGTATGTGAGTGATTGTGAATGACTAAATAGTCTAAAGCGCTTTGGTCTAGCCTCCTGACTTGAAAAGGTGCTATATAAGTTCAGGCCATTTACCATTTATCAATTAAGTACAAAAACACATATTTTAGGAAATATTAAGCCCTCTGTACCATCCCAGAGAGATTGAGAGAAGAATGCATTTTTGCAGTCTCAAGCCCCTATCACACCTTGACGATTTAGACCAGCGTATGCTAGACTTACAAAAAAATCTGGCAAAAACGCTGGCATACGTTGGATAAGTTATAGGTACGTTTTGTATAAATTATGAGTACGCTGAAACACGCTGCCACACATCAACATACGGCATAGGGCATATGTTACAGGTAAGTTATCTGATCATTGATGTACCGGTACGTTAAGTGTAAGTTACTCATAAGTCGTGGCGTCTAGCTTATCCAAAACCTATAC